GGGGGGGGGACATTATAGACCCCATCTTAGTCACTTTTGGGGGAATATGTAATTTTATAGTCAATCCAGTTGTGAAAATGCGACCCCATCCAGCAGCACATCCCCATTAGCCTCTTATAAGGAAGTAGCCCCCTCCCTGCCCCCAGATACTTCACTTAAACTTATAAATTAATTCTATTAAGCAAACAAATAATTATTATTCATGAAGAGTTATGCGGATCAAGGAAGTGTTGCAGAAAATACCCCTAAAGGTCTGCATAATTCTTCATATCATTAGAAAGCCTGATTCAATAATTGTCTTAATTATATTATTTTTCATGCATAATATTTCTCAGTTCATAACAGTCCATGCATAGCATGAATATCAGATGATTACTAACTCTGAGTCACTTTTACTCCCACAGTAACTACTGACTCGAAGTAATCATCTGATATTCAGGCTTGACTGTCCTTACGTCTTCATGTATAATTTCCTTTTCCAAAACATATGCCTCTTCCCTGGCAGATTTGAGTTATGAGTGGATGTTTTTATTTCATATGTTCTTCATAGATCAGTGCGTTGTTGATGCATCAAACAGTATTCTTGTGTATTCATGTTATGTTTTTCAGACTTTAATTTAGCTATTTTTCCTGTTGCAGAATATACTTCATCTTCCACCCCAGTAACTCGAATTCACGCGCTAACTAGAACTGTTTTTCATTTCCCTTCAGAGTTTAAGTTACCAGGGGTTAATCGACTGTATGTCATATTTTTTGTCTGTTAATATACCTTCCTAGATGACAATTCCAAAGAATGGTGGGGGACATTTTGACCTCAATGCTTTTGCTGTTCACGTGATGTCTGTGGATTATACTCAAGCAAGGTATTAAATGATGCAGCAAATTCATAATATAGTTGTCATTGTGATTTCTACTTTTCTATGACACTAATAACAATATTAATAATGGAAACTTTATTTGTGTTTTTGAATGTACAATAATATTGTAAATCTCGCTACGTATAGGCAGTTTACAAATGCTGCTTGAGATTATTGAATTATTCAAAAAAAAAAGAAGAAAAGAAAATCAAAATTGCATGGAATTAACTGATGCATAAATTGTTACAGTAGTCATGAGCAAAAAAATCACAGATTTTAAAGGCCAATAATTTAGCACTGCTGTATTTGTGAATATTGCCTTATAGTTCCCGTGCGGTAACCTTTGTTCACACCGTCAAGTCAAACAAAGTAATAATTCATTGAAAACAATAGTGAAACAACAGAATTCTGTGTTTTACTGGAAGTGGTTGAAAGTATAGGAATTGATTCTGTGGCAACAAGTCTTTTATGGTCTTTCATCAGTCTGCAAAAGTGTGGGTGTGACATCGTCAAAAGTTATTGCTAAATTACACAGTTGAACTCAATCGTGAACAAGCAGGAAAATCAAAGACAACACTCCTAGAATTTAAATTCTGCCTAGTCTGAGCAAGAAAGGGTTGAAGAAGAAATAGCTGATATATCCTTACCAGTAAGGACGACACCACGGTGTCTGAGGTAATAGTAAAGGGCAGAGAAAGTCACGTGCAAGCAATAGCTAACAGAGTAATTGAGTGGTCTCGCAAGAACAGGGTCCAACTAAACACTGATAAGTGCACAGAACTCAGGATCTCCTTTGCTAAAGAGCAAAGAGTTTCGAGTCCTTCCACCAGATTATGACAACTCACGCTATAAGCTAAGACGACAGCACCTTTTTAATATGCCAAAGCTTTGCACGAACAGAACAAGTAATACTTTTATATATGCGATGTCGAAACAGTCCGGGCTGTAGTTTTATCCTACTTATATTCATGCTTTATATTTGAACATATTTCAGTATGAATATGTTATATAGAATTTTTAATATTATCGTAAAAATCAGTTTTCGACTTATTATCTAGGATTCATTTGTAATTTTCAGGTGTTGTAAAGTTTTTGTAAATAATTGCGTAATTCAGCCTTTGGCTGCGATGCAGTTTTAATAAACTATCTATCTATCTATCTATCTATCTATCTATCTTACAAATAATTACAACTCATCCTCATCTGCCCCCAAGGTTTTGTGCATTTTTGACTTGTAAATGAATTCCTTGATCATCTCATGGTTTCTGTCATGAAGAGACAAAGGTGACAAAAC